GGGGCGGGCCCGCGGCGGGGCGTGGGCCTGCGCGGCCCCGCGAGACGGGTGGCCCCCAGAGGGGGCTGCTGCGGGGGCCTGCGGGGCCACCGGCAGTCCCCGGGGGGGGTCCCCGAGAGGGGGCCCCGCGTGGTGGTCAGCTCGGCAGGGCCGGGTGCTGTGCTTGTTCTCCTGCGCGCTTCGACGGCGCCTTGGGGGCGGCGCTGCTGCGCGCACGCGCGCGGGCCCTCTGTTGGGGACTCTCTTGGGAATCTCCCAGGGGCCTTCCGCCGGTCTCCGGCGCGCTCCTCGGGCGCGCTCCTGTGCGGCACCCCTCGGACGAGCCCGTTGGACGCTCCCGATGGCCTGGCGGAATCTGACCACCTCCCGAGTGCCTCGCCTTCCTGTCCTCATCCCTCCCCTTGCTCGCGCCTCAGGGGAGCGGCTTCGACTGCGGCGGGCCCGCGGCTGCGCCGACATACAACCGCGCTCGACTCGCATGGATTCCAAGTGATGTGCGCAGATCTTCAAGCGTAGGTTTCGTCGCGCAGTCCATACAGTCGCCCGATATACACGCTATGCCTGATCCAAGAAGATCGGCGGCGACGGGGCGGCGACGGCGACCACATCGCCGCCAGACCGACGGGCAGGCCCAGTTCCCAAGAAAAGAAATAAGAACCTCTAACTGCAAGCACTGTCTGTGGAATATGCAGGGAGAGATAAAGAACATCAAACAAGAGACAGAGAGAGGGAGAGGAGGAGAGGGAGGGGGAATGAGAGAGCTGCGAAGAAGGGGCGATGGAGGATGGAGGGTCGACGGTGCAGCATGGCGGAGGGAGGCGAGATGCGTGAAGGAGGAGGCGTGAAAGAGGGCGAGGAGGTAGGAACAGAGAGGAGGAGGAGGAGGAGGAGGAGGAGGAGGAGGAGGAGGAGGAACAGAGAGGAGGAGGAGGAGGAGGAGGAGGAGGAGGAGAAGGAGACGGAGGAGGAGGAGGAGGGAGGAGCGAGGAGGAAGGCGAGAGGAGGAGTGAGGGACGAGGGAGGAGTGGAGAGCAGACGAAGACCGAGGGAAAACCAAGGAAGGAGGGCGGACTGGGCGAGAGAGGGAGCGAGGAGGATGACGGAGGGAGAGGGGGAGAGAGAGAGGGAGGGTTGAGGTGTGACGTGCGCGAGGAGGGAGGAGGGAGGGGAAGGTGGGAGGTGGGCGAGGAGAGAGGGAGGGAGGAAAGCTGGGCGAGAAGGGAGTGGGGAGGGATGGACAAGGAGGCAGGCCGCAAGGAAGGCCAAGTCCTTGTCCGGAATAATGCTGTAGACGAGCTTGTCTGCGTTCTGGGTGAGCTCGTGGTTGGATATCCGCCGACCCTCACGTCCCAGCTCCGCGGAGCAGCCGAGATGGAGCGATCTGGGGCCCCCGAGTGCCTCTGGAGGTTCGCCCGTCTGGGCCCCTGGATGCCAGTCTCGGGCCCCTGGAGCTGGACCCACGGCAATGGAGAAGCCTGAGAAGCGCGCCGTCGGACGAGGGGGCCCGGGGACCGGACGCGCGAGATCTGCGGGCACCTCCCCGGGCACTCGCGCCCCCCTGCTGGAGTCCCATGGCCTCCATCCGCTGAGGGGGGGAGGGGGGGCACGGGCAGGGAACACACGTAACACACGGCACCCCAGCGGCTGGCCCCAGCACCAAGCTAAAAAAAGAGGGCGCCGCCAGCTCCGCTCCGGCGGTCGGCGGAGCTGGTCGCGAGACTCACGGATCACGATCTTGGACACCTGCTCCAACCCTGGGCTTGAGAACGTCACGGCCACACGGCTCATCTCGAGCGCCACTAGAGCCGCCAAGCCCCCTCCCAATGAGTGCCCGGTGAAGTAGTACTTCCTCTCGGGATCGTCGTTGATCGACTTCCGGACGTAATCGAGGAAGCCCCTGAAGAAATCCTCGTAACGATTGCGATAGCGATCCCGAAGTGTCACTGGAAAGATCGTGGTTACGACCATCGCCAGATCGGTGTCCAACAGCTAACATAACCGAAACACTGGGGGAGAAACGGGCCCATGCATGCACCCCATGTCCATTCATCGTCCCTCCTATTCCTTTTCCTCCTCCGCCTTCTCTGCGTTCTTCTCCCGCCGTCCTCCTATTCGTTCTCTCCGTACGCCTCGCCTCTGCTCTTCCTCCTCCTCCTCCTCCTGCCTCGAGCGTCCTCGCTTCTGGGGGCGGGGCAGGCAAAAGCAGTCCGAGAGGACGCAAAGCTCTCCCTGAGGCAGCACTGCGCGAGCATGCCAGGGGGCACACGGCCCAACAAGCTGGAGATCAAGAGGAGATGGGAACACTCTCAAACCTATCGGCACGAAAATAGTGCGCCATTCAAGAAACACTCATGAACCGCTTTGCATTCCCTTGGACCATGTAAGTTCAACCTTTAACGGGCGAAGAACGGTATCACATAAACTGTTTCGCCGTCGGGGACACCTGCCCCAGGGCGGCTGGCAACTTTATACCCCGACGGCGAAAAAGCTTATGTTATACCGTTCTTCGCTCGCTGAAACCTTGGGTGGGCCCCAGGAGGCCAGCAACGGCGAAAAGCCTGAGGATAACTCGACCGCAGGCGGCCTGCTCTTCATGCTTGGCTCGCCTACAGCACGGAAACATCACATCAACATCCTCTGTGATCATCATCAGCGTCGTCGTCGTCATCGGTTCAGGACTCCCTTCAACAGCTCCTTTGTAAACCAATTGGTGCCCATGCCATTGGACAAGATGGCGGCGGCATCCGATGCCAGTATGCTCACATCGGGGCCAAACCAAGCAAACAGTTGCGCAATGCCAGTAGACAGCCAGAGATTGATATCCTGAAGAAGATCCACATGGTCCTGAGTCCCACGAGTAAGAAATACGGTTGTTCTGTTTTCTGGGCTCCATATCTCGTAGAACGTGGTCCAGTCGTTCTGCGATTTCCTCATGCAGCGCTTGCACATTTTGCCCACCTTCCAGCCTGGGAAATACTCGTGCAACCTATCCTGGAAGTCCTTGGGCTCATAATTGGCCAGCGCGGCCATGTGAGCGAAGTCCAAGATGGTGAGGTAAGACTTCTCCTCCTTGCGGAAAAGACCGAACTTCATGGTGCAAAAATCGTAGTTCTGTCGTTCGGAATTGGCCTCCGTCTGGTGGTTGGAGGAGATGCCAAGAAGAAGAACAAATAACACACACATCACATGTCGGAGCTCCGCGCGGACTTCTTGTACCGGCGCTGGCTCCCCCCTTCCCGGCGCGCGGCAGCGCCGATCCAAGAACTCCGCGTTGAGCTCAGACAGGTTATGCTGTATGCCGATGTCCCCTTCCTCGAGATGCCCTCGCCCAGCGGTGCGCTGGCCCTGGGCGGCGGCAGGAGGGCCTCCTCCTCCTCCGACGACGACGAGAACGGGCCGTGCATGCCGGCGGCGTGCAGCGCGCGGAGCCGCGCGGGCGGCCCCGCGAGCCGCGCGGAGGCGGCGGTGCTGTTCCCCAGGGTGGCGGGCTCGTCGAGGAAGCCGCTCTCCACCGTCTTCACGCAGACGCCGAGGGCCGGAGGACGGACCGGTCGGGACAGCGGCGGGCCTCCCCTGGCGCCGTTCGGCCTCTGCTGGGCCCCGTCATGGCTTCTCGTCGCCACGGCTGAGCTCGCTTCAAAGAGGTGGGTCAGGAGGGACCGCAGAAGGGGCCCGGGGAGAGACGTTGGGCGGAGTTGGGGCGGGCGGGCAAACCGGCGTTGTCTCAACTGGCCCTCCTCCGAGATGATCAAGAAGAGAAAACACTGGAGCCCAAGGCTTGACACTACGTAGATACGCCACTGAGAGCTCTGGTACCGCGTGAACGTGAATTGCACCAGGACGAAAAGAAGAAGCGTTGACCAGCCGAACCGGGTGGTGCCGTCCAACGTTAACCAACCGAAGGCATGGAAGTTGAGAGCGGTTGCAACGAGGACGAACAGACCCCCTTCCAGGAGACCGACCAGCCACCCGAAGTTCAGCTCGTCCACAAAACCAATGGTGAACCTCCGCAGAATCAGCCAGAAGAGTACGAAAAAACACATCACTTGGCCAGCGATCCAATTCAGGTGCCAGAAGAAAGCCAGCTGAACTGCGACGGAAAACGCCGAGAGCTCGTAGCCCTTGGACAGCGCGGCCTCCGCGAGCCCGCAGTGGACCTCCCCCCACTCCTGCAGCAGGGCCCCCCAGTTGCGCATGTACCTGCGCCCCGCCAGGCACGCCCCACTCGGCAGCCTCCGCGCGCGACGGACGAGGGCGGAGGGAAAAGGGGGGAAGGGCCTCTATGTCCTCGCCTCTCCTCCTCGATGCCCCCGAAACACATTGGCACGATGGAATCCGGTCCTGCTGGAAGCGGGTCCTGGATCATGGGGCTCTCCCCAAGGCCATCTTCTCATCCTGAGTCATCCTGAGGGCCTCGTGAGCCACGTTGAAGGCCACCTTGGGCGCCTTGAGGGCCTCTTGGACCGTCTTGGAGCCCTCATGGATAGAGGAAAAACAAATATGCACATACACCGATTCTGGCCAGGCCCATCCTGAGCCCAGGATCGGTGCATACGCCCTCCTGCCTTGGCCAGGGAGGCACATGCACCGATCCTGGGGCCAAGGATGGGCCTGGCCAGGACCGGTGCATGTGCATAGTTCTCTTCGCCCGAATGGAGCCCTCTTGGCCCGTCTTCAGGCCTTTTCGGGCCCGAAGACACAGACACGCGGGGAGACGCAGCGGAGCCCAAGGGGCACGCGGGAAGCCCCAGGAGACTTCGGAAACTTGGGTCGGGGCCCTTTAGTGAAGGGGCCCCAGGACATACAAATAAATACACACAAATAAAGATATTCCCCATATTTTCCCATATTTTCTGGGTTTTTGTCTTCCCGCCCACTGCCCATATTTTCCCATATTTTCTGGGGGATCGAGGATTAATTGTGTCTGTGTGTTTCTTTTCCTCCTGATTTAGAGACTTCTCAGGACTGAGGACCGAGGCTCCACGGAGTAGGCAAAGGCCAAGAGGACACGCCCACTCCGTGCCTAGAGGCACGGTGGCGGATATGGTTTGCCACGCGGAAAACGGGCCCTCTGGAAAAAGGGTCATGAGGTTTATCTCTGCTGTCGCCTCTTGGGCCCTCTTTTGCATCCAGGGCCCGCCGAGAGACGCCCCAAGAGGCCTCAAAAAGGCCTCCCAGTAGGGCCCCAAGCGGCACAAATCATTGATTATCCGATGGTGTTTGAAGGATTATGGCGTTCTCGCCGTTTCGGCTTTCCGACGCTCCAAGACGGTCCAAGAGACCCCCGAGACCACCCCAAACGGCCAAAGAGGCCTCCATGAGGGCCCCAAGACGGCCTAAGAGCGCCCCAAGACGGCCCCAAGAGGCGCCCAAGACGACCCAACTGGGCCCAAAGGCGGCCCCAAGAGGGGCCCAAGAGAGGGAACACGAACCGAACATCGGAGCCTTCCGCTCCAAGAGGCGCTCAACAGGCCTCAAGAGGTTCCTAGGCGGCGCACAGGAGGCCCCAAGAGGTCGAAATGAGGCCCCCAAAAGGTCCCAAAGAGGGCCCAAGAAGCTCCAAAACGCTCCTCAAGATGCCTCCAAACTGCCTCCAAGAGGCCTCCGAGAGGCCTTCCACAAGAGCCAAAGAACATCCAATAAGCTTCATACCCACAGCCCAGGCACGGTGGCGGGATGGGCCGAGGGCCATTAGATAACAACAAAGCGTGTTTGCTAGCGCGGACCCCAAACATTGCGTCAGTGCATTATTCTGGATGTGTATGCGCATGTAATACAAACGACGTAGCGCAATCTAGGTAAGTGATACAAGATTTGTGGTGCAATGGATGTCGCGCAAACGACGTGGTGCAATCAATTTGATGCAAGCGTGCAAGCGATATGGTGGAAGATGTGTGGAGCCAATGCTTTGTTCCCCGACTTGCAACTGCTAACTCCACCGCTTTTGCCAACGCACCACCCTACCACCCGCAACTTGGTTTGCAAACGCATGCGGCCGCGACTGCGATGACTGATTGGCACTCGCTGGCGCATCTCTGCGGCGGCGCTGGCGCGCGAAAACTCGCGCGAAGAGCGGCCAGCTGAATTGGCACAGCTGATGATGCGGCGACGGCGTTTACCGATAGGATCTTCTACACGCGTCTCAACGGCCGCGCTGGCGCTCGGGCACTTCAGAGCGGGTCGGTGACGATGACGGGCGCAATATCATGATGTCGACAACGGCGGCGACGCTGATGACAATGTGGTGGCGATGATGACGATGACGACGGCGATGCCAATGATGGGTCCGCTGGTGGTGACGACGATGACGATGATGACGTATGGCGGCAATCGCGGCGATTGACGACGCTGATGCTGGCGGTGATGCGATGGCGTTAAGTGGGGGCGATGGTGAAGACCTGTGCGCGCAGAAACTCAAAAAACAAAAAAACATTGCGAATTCGCTGTCGGAGAAAAGCTAGGATTTCTGTGTGGTGTTGAAGAGCTCTGCCTTGAATCGCTTCGAATACCAGTGGTGTTGGAATGAGTTCGACGCGCGCGCGCGTGGACCGCGCGCGCGTGGCCCGCAGCGTATTAGTTTGAGAAAGCTTCGTGGACTAATCCGATGCTGGATCCTCGCGGCTGCACCACTTGCTGCGATGAGAACGCGGCTTGTAAACGTCGTTGTTAATACCAGATAGTTGTCCTGCTATAGCAGAGAAGTGCCCCACTCAGTGGATGGTTTTCGCTGAGGAGATCGACCAGGAGCCCGGGAGCCCAAGAACCCAGAACCCACCGAAATCGGCCGGGAACCAATAACCGGGAACCCGGGAACCCAGTCTGCTACCAAAATCGGCGGGAAACTTTCGCGAAATCTTTCAACTTCCACTAGGACCCCTTCAGTGCAAGCAAAGATTGGGGCATGAATTCAGCAAATCCGCGCGAACCGAACGTCGGCAAGACGGTTGATGAAAACCATGTGCGTGTGTGACGGTTCCATCGTAGAACGCTTGGAACGAATCTGTCTGGTATGACTTCGACGTGCGAGCGCGTGGTTACTTTGTGGCATGTCTTCAGACAAGATGTTTG